ATGAGAAGCAAATGGTCAATGACAGTCACTATTCACCAACCACTGGAAAAAGTCAAGCAGGTATAAAAGGAAGTACTGCTTGTAACTTAAACCAATCAACTCTTTAAAAAGTGCCTTTTTTGTGTATTAGTAATCACTATTTAATCTACATTTCCTGTTTTTGACTTAAAATATTTCTCGAAAAGGCTACAAAAGTAAAGTCAGATATGCTCTAGATTTGATTAAATATTCTAGAATCTTTAACTTTCTTATTTTTCTTTTAATATCAGACAAAGTAGCTTGTCTCTTTCTGGCTGTGTATAGCTTGTCTGTTATTAAGTCTCTAAAAATAATTTACTGCTTTAAAAATAAGGATAAGAAATGTGGTTAGCAGTTTAACCTGAGATACGGACTGAAAGATAAATAACCATAGGATGTAAATCTGTAGCAGCAAGACAGAAGATATGAGTAAAGAGGAATGCAAGGATATGGGCTATGCCTCCTGCCGTGTGGTCTGGATCTTGCTACTGAAATTATAAAATTTTCATAAACATGGTTCTAGGAAAATATTATTAACTGCAATATTATTTCCATAGTTTGGAGGAAATAAAATTGAAACACAAACTAGTAAAATAATTTAGCATAATTTTAAATAACCTGATTCCTTTTAAAAAGTTTTTAAAATTTAATAGGTTTTATACCTCCAATATAACATTTCCCCATCAAATGATTCTGAAGCCATGTCTCTATTTCAGGGTTGGTTAATTCACTAACAGCACATCTCTCATCAGAATCACAAATTCCACTTTCATTTGTCTCTGAAAATGTACTTTTTTGTTTTTTAGGAGAAAAAAATATTTTTAAATCTTCACTGAACTTTTTTTTTTTTTTTTCTTTTTGGTACCAGGAATCGAACTAAGGGCCTCTTGCTTGCTGCTTACCAGGCAAGCACTGTGTGCCTCTGAGTTACATCCCCAGCCCCCACTGAACTTTACTGAATAATTTAATTTTAATACATTTTTTTAAAAGCAACAACTCTGTATGAAAATAACCACAGAGCAAAAAGTTACTGGATCTCCTTTTTTAGGTAAGCAGTATTTTTATTATCATTGTGGTTCAAAGGTTAAAACTAAGAAAATGCCTGACACTTCGAAGGAGGGGCTAGCTCAGCCAGAGGTCACATGATAGCTGCTAATTGAAAAATGTTAAAAAGGGAAGGAGGAAGGGCAGGGTGTCTGCCTGCTCTTCTCTATTACAATATTCGATATTTACTGAAAAAAAAAACAGAATAAAATAAATTCTCAGATTGTATATCCCTCAAAAGATGCCTAAAATAAATCACCAAAGCTGAACACAGCTGACACTCCATCAAGCATTCCTTGTAAAACAGAAGATGGAATTCTAAAATCAAACTATATTTCCAGAGTAATATTTTTAACAAAGACAGTGTAATCTCTGTTTTTTTCTGCCATTACATGGCAAAATTAAAACACTCTTCATTATAATTTATGTCTTGATTTCACTAAATGTTTACATTAAAATGCATTTTTTATTAAACTATTTTGTGTTGCCTTTTTTAAAAAAGAGTATTTTCAGGGCCAGGGATTTAGCTCAGCGGTTCGGTGGCCTGCCTTGCAAGCGCAAGGACCCAAGTTCGAAAAAAAAAAAAAAGAGTATTTTCAAAACAGACAAACTTGCAGAAGCTAAGTCAAATCAGTGATAACTTAATGTTTTAATTTATAAATCACTTCACTACAAAGGGCAAGTTACATTTCTTTAAATTTTTTTCAATGATTTATTAGAAAAGTCATGACACTACTTTCTTTACTAAGTACACATTTTTTATGTCTTCACAAATATATCAGATTCCTTAAAATGTACTCTTCCTTATGTATGTAGTTTCTACATTTAACTCAAAATGATGAACATGATTTTCACAATTAATGTTAACATTTTTTGACATGAAATAGGAAAGTAATAACCCATAGCTAGATTTAAAGTTGAATTAATGACACCATTTTGATTGTGTACATTAGCTGCAATTACTTGCACCACTCATTCTGAGCCACTAGATGGTGTAAAAAAATAAATCAAAATGGTAAAATTTCATTCCACTAAGACAAAATCCACATATAACTCCAAGAAAGATGGACACATAACAATGCTACCAATTTCTATACTAATTGCACTTTTAAAAAAAACTACCAGTATAACATTGCCTCTATCTTGATCTAAAAACAAACCCTTTAAAAGCAATTTTTTGCTGTCTTTTACTAAAGGCCTTGAATTCTTTTTTGTTTTTGTTTTTTGAGTCAGGGTCTCCCTATGTCACTCAGGCTGGCCTTGAATTCACTTTGTAGCCCACGCTGGCCTCAAACTCTTCATGATCCTCACGCCTCAGTCTCTGGAGTGCTGGTATGACAGGCATGTACCACCATCCCTGGCAAGTTCTTATGTTATAATACTACACATTCAAAATTATAGATATTCATATACTAAAAGAATTTACAATATTAACTTCTGGACTGTGTTTGCCAAAGTTTTGATAAAACTAGAAGGCCACACCAATATAAGCTTAATAGAGATTCTCCAGAGATTTCGATTTGAAAGCAAGATGAAGAAATAAGGATCAACACAAACATTTACTCAACTGCAAAGCAACCAGACTATCAACAGCCAATGAGCCCATACATGGCTCAAAGATTCATAACCCTCAGAGATAGCTTAGTGCCCTTCTCTACACCCTCACCAACCCTTAGCAAGTTGATGCTGCCATGTCCACAACTGGGCAACTATGCATTCAATCCTGCAGCCAATGGTGATATGTGCTGGCTGACAAGGTCTTTTTTGTTTCTTTGCTGGCTTTTGTTCCAAAACCTAAAATAAACCCATGCTAAAATAACAATCTCTAATAAAATAATGGTGGTGTTGAAAAGTCTGATAGTGGAAATACTGTATTTTTGTTCAGCTCTCTCCCAAACAGCTTTAAAAGATTTTGGATGGCATTAAATGCTTCATGTTGGTTGGACCACCTCCAGAGTTAGTTCTATGATCAGGCTTCACAAATAAAAGGACAATCTCTACAAAACAGATCTGAAAGAAGAGGAACTTCTACTTTCAGCAGCCTAGAACTATAATAAATACCCTATGATTATACTTTCAGTTTCATGTGGACAGAAAACTATTTTCTGAAGCAAAAGTAGAAGACAAGCTCTGGGAACTGTGCTTGTTTATACTCAGGGTGAGTGCTCTACCCAGGCTTTTATCAATAGACAACCTGATTCCTAAAGAAGGTTTTAGCCCACCTGGGCTTTATAAGCTTTGTATTTGCAAACACAATGGGATGAGTGCATAGCAATCTCCCTACAATCTGAAATTTCAAGAGGAAACTAATCATTTTTTAAATTTTATACACACTTGCAGCCAAGTTGGTTTAAGAAACCATGAGCCCAGTAAACTTAGTAATGATTCCAAAGAAGTTCCTTGATAAGAAATGAAACTAATCGTTTGATTTCTATATTCAGTAATTAAACCAGAAAGCTGTTGTCTTAACTCAGGACAATTAAATGCTCAATAACAAGCTTAATCAAGAGTTTTAATGTGAATGTGGCTATCTATATCTCCCAATGACTGAAAGTATCTTTCTGAGAATAACAACCAAAAACACTAGGCTAACAAGCAGAAGACAAAGAATTAAGTGATAAGGCTTAGCTTTGGGCACCCTAACCAGCAATTACCATAGATGTCTTTATTTACTTATTAGTAAATATTTATTTTCCAGCCATCTTTAAGTGCTTATATCTCATTCCTTTTAGACTCTCAGTGCATAAAATGGGTCCCTGGCATATTGTAGGTGTTTTATGGTGGCTTCAAATTAAATGGAAAGAGGGAGGGGAGGAGAGGGGAGGAAAAGGAAGGGGAGGGAAGGGAAGGGAAGGGAAAAGGAAGGAAAACAGAGAGAGACACTAGTCTTGGGAGTCAAAATACCTCTGTCAAATGCGGGCTCTGGCTCCTTTTTTGTGCTAAGTTCCCTTATGTGTAAAACAAAGAAGAGATGATCTTTGTTAAGACCCTCATCTGTTTTGACTTTATACAACAGCCATCTAGTGTTAAAATTCAATATGTGACTTTATTTCCAAATTCCTTTCATAGCTAACAAATGAAATTAGCTCTCTGAAATATCCAAAATATTTCTCTAATCAAAAAAATCACATTAAACTCTTAGATTTATTATTTATTTCACATTTTTTTATTTATAATTAAATTGTTTCCATGTATCATTTGTTTCTAAAATAGCCTCACAAAGTAGACAGTGGAAGATTTTTAATTCCCATATAACAACAGGAATAGGAGAAAAAGTATAAGAATTTAGAGAGCTTAGACATATTATCAGAAATATAACCTGACTTTTAGACCTGTGCATTCTGAACAATGCAGCATTTTAAAGAGCAAGGACAAAGATTTTTATATATATAAAGTTTAGTTTAAAACAATATACTTTGCCACTACATTTGCAACTATAGTGTGTTAAACTTACCTAAACCTTTCTAAATAGAAAAGTATTGCTTTTAAATTGTCGGAACACTCAATATATTTACATAAAGATGAAAACCTTGTTCTATAAACACAATGTTTCCAGTAGTGAATGGCATACAAAGTCAGAATAAGCACAGAGAAGAATAAAAAGGAAGAGGAAAGACAAACATAATAAATAACCTAATACCTTACAATGTTAACTTTCACATAAGTATATTGTTTCTGGAAAAGGCAATGGGTGGATGTGAGCCAAGAGCTGAAGTGATAGGTAAACACACTGTTAAGTTGAATCCTGTTATCTGATTGTGTTTAAATTTTGATTATATTTCACTTGACAAAATAATTAATTATTGTGAACTCCCAATTGTTAGCAAGGTCCTACAAGAATTCCAACTGGCATTTTTTCCTAGTGTTGTAAATCCAAATGCATAAAAACCAAACTATGTGTTTCCCTTTTCCCGTGTCATTTTCGGATACTCTCTTACCTTGCTGAGAATGTAAATCACATCACCACGTTTAAATGACAACTCATCAGAAAGAGCTCCTGTGCAGTCCCACAAACCTTGGTAAAAATTAGCATAATCTGTGCTCTTATCTCCTAGGAAAAAGAAATAGAAAGCATGAGTTAGAGCTTGAACTAGTATAAATTAAAGGACCACTCCAGACCACCAAAATAATCTGTCCGTAGTCAATGAATATTTTATTATATCCAGACAAGAATCCTAGTTCTTACTGTCATTTAAGATAACTTTCAAAATCCAGTTTTTATTCTTTTTTCCTTCTCTGCCTTTCATTTACAACCTCTAGTTGCAGCATGTTCTCATCAAAATAGCACCAAGTTGCTTCTCACTTATTTCATATAACAAACCTAGCCATTCACAGCATGTTCTGAAGAGAAATCTGTCATACTGCATAATGAGCAATGCCACTGGAATGGGACAAACTGAAACAGTCAGCTGACAGAATTTGGGACACTTCATAAAAATGACAATAATAAGGAGCTAATACATAAATAAAAAACCTAAACTGGCTAAAGGAAGAGCATAAGTGAGAGTAATATATAGATTAACTGCAGCTCTTTGGGGGAGGGGATTTATACACACAGATTCCCAAAGTTGTCTTCAAAATATTTTAGCAACTTTGAAATTGCCAATGATGAAGCTGCATTTTTCATCAGATTTTTGTCAGCCCTAGTTTAGGACATGAGGCTCTGAATAAACATGCAATATACACTAGAATTATACGCTCATCCTTCTACCAGCATAAGCACAATGGATGTGATGTGCTCAAACTGCCATACAGACCATTAACTGATTGATTATTTAGTGCTCTCCACTCTGTAATACCACAATAAACTGGGTAATAAATGCTTTGTCACTTATACAAGTGGGTCTCCTGAAATTCAGCACAGATTTAAATACACTGGATGCTTTTGTTACACTGAGAACTATTTCCTGTTTTTAATTCCTGATAATTGAGTTTTGATGAGTTAATGCAAAAAGAATGCAAGTAGTATCAATAAGATGTCCATGTATTCGCTAGTCAGGCAGAACACATATAGGCTGACAACTTCCATCACTGAAATGTCATCTTTGAATTCTGAAGGGATGATGGTGGAGACACTTGGTGGATCAGGGCTGTCATCTTAGTTTTGTTGTATGGCTTTCAAAGAAAAAACTTCTTTGTGAGTCCAACACAACTGGTCACATTAGCACACCAGCTGGTTGCTCATCTTATTAAATATAATTTCTGACTTACACAAAATGCTAACTTTGTTAGAAAAATTTGAAATGTTCTTTAATATCTTCAAAAACATTATTAAAGCCAAAAGAAAAAAAAAAGAACCTGAATAACACGGAATCTGAATATTTATAAGATGCTAATTTTCAATTATAATTGTAAAAAAAAGAAAAAAAAAGAACCAGAAAATACACAACCTAGCAAAATCTCTATTAATTTTTTTCTCATTTTCAAAGAATTCAGAGGACAGTAGGAGGAGGCAAAAAGGAGAAGAGGAGAGAGGCAGACGGTGAGACAGACACCTTATTGACTTCTCCACATTAGCATGTGAGTGCTCATCACTGGTATCAGCAGGGAGGGACACAAGCCTGGGAACCCAACCAAGAACTAACAATGCTTGTGGCCACCCTTCATTACATTTTTCCCCCAAAGCATACATTAAGTAAATTCTATAAATGGACACTAGAGGGCACTCTGGCTGGCCAGATCCTCCAAGAGTTGTCAATGTCTTTTTTTTTTTTTAAGGAAAAAAAATCACTTTATAATAAAGTGACTGATTTCCTTTAAAAACCACTTATTTAAACAAATAAAGATTTAGAAGTTGAAACATTCTAGTCAGATTAAATCAACTGCTAAATGGGTCAAATGTTGTGCCCCACGCAGTCTGTCAGTGTCAGTGTAAAAGTCAAGGAATTAGAGCAAAGAGGGGATGACATCATTTCGCATGCAAGGCCCTCCCCCACACTAACCAGCCAGGAGGTAAAAGGATCTAAATAGCTGGTTTCCCCAGTCAAGGCTTCTGTTTGCTGTTTGTTCCCTTATTTCTCAGCCTTAGGCTTGGTCCAAAAAACAGAAGAAACAAAACTTGGGCTAAAAATGAGAGTAGAGGTTTTTGGCTTAGGAGTGATGTCCCAACGGGCTGCCCAGCTGTCCTGGTTGCTCACTCTTTTTCAGATTCTCTCATGATCACTTTTCCTTTAAAAGATTTTCAAGAGGGGGCAGGAAGAAAGAAAAAAAGAAAAGTATATGTGATTTCTAACACATAATCCTTATCACTTTGGGGTCTCTCTTCCCCTCAATGCACTTGGTGAAACACCCATTAACACTAATGGAAGTTACAGGAGCAGGCGAAGGAAAGAGAGACCCCCACCGTGTACAAGATGCATCTCTCCCTAGATGTGCATCATGAGCATTTCATTAAACCTCACTGCTGTAAAGAGGCAACGGAGCCAGCAATTTGGCAATCCTGGGAAAAAGATGCATTTTCAACTGTGCTTTCTATAATCTTGATGATGATGTTATCCAAAGACCAACCTCATTTCTGTGTCCCATATGTGAGCTCTGTTAAAGAATAATTTGTTTATGTCACACAGCTATATGTACATGCGATTTATTATTCTTTTTCAGCATGTGATACTACTCATAAACTAGAAATATCACAGTAGTGAGAAAACCTGGCACTATGTGTTTATTAGTCTCGGTCTCCTCAGGAAAGTAATGTTTAAAATTCTTGATATGAAATGTGGACATAGGAATAATCTTGTTCATAGGAAGCACTGAGTTCCTCTAATGTACTCTCTTAAAAGTTTAAGGGTGTTTAATCATACAAAAGAATTATTCAGGCATAGATATAACCTCAAAAGCATAGGTTCGCAGACGTTAACACTGTTCACCTTTATACTGAAAAATAATCCATGTGAGATATGTATTTGTTATGGAATAGAGCAAAATGTGATAAATATACATTCTAAAGTACAAGTTAATTGTTTTTAGTTGTCTGAACTACATGGATTAATTTTTCTATCTGATTCACATTATGAACTGTATTTTCAAAATTACTAAAAGAAAATCACCTTATTGTTTCTTGTCCTGGGAGGCATGAATGATCAAAATAAGAAGGTACAAAAGAAACAATAAATTAGCCAGCTGTGAAGGAGTTAAACAATATACTTGCTCCTGCTTTTAAAACCATATAAAAACAGATAATGGGCAAATGTAACAAAATTATTACAAAGGTAGAAACTGAAAATGTAAACATTGGAATTATTTTTGCAAATAAGGCAAGATTTTTAAAAAATGACAAAGAAACATGATAATGGATAATCTTTCCTTGAATGTTATAGGTTCGAAAACTATTTTTAGAAAGGTAAGCATATTTTACAGTGTTAAGAAAATCTAATGAAAAAATAATTAATCTGAAGAGAAAAATCAAATGAGATTTTGTGTGTGTGTGTGTGTGTGTGTGTGAGAGAGAGAATATATATGTTCTAGAAGTATAAGCTTGAACATGCACGAACTTGTAAGAAACACAAAACAGATTTTGCTTTAGCTTACATATTTTACATTAGCATTAGAAGACTCTATACTTTTTTTTTTATTTTTTAGTACAATTAGTCAATGTGAAAAATATGCAACGTTCTTGACTAAGGTTAGAAGTTCATGTCATGTGATGCTCAGCAAGATAGTAATACCCTTGTTAACTCACTGCCCTGCATGCCAAACAAGCTTCTAGCCTTTGACAGCCTAGGGATGAGCAAAAGTCACTATTATGCAAAAGCATTAAAACTGTTGCTGAAAAAGAATTTCATATTTCATGTCACTAAAGAGAAGAATTATTGCAGTGCAATAAGCAATGGCATGAAAAGCTAGATCGACCTATTATATTCCTTTGAGGAAAACTGGTTTTTTCCCTACCCTCAAAGGCAAAAATTTGGGAGATGAATACTTGTAAAGGTGTTCTTTGTTTTGTGTTTTGTTTTGTTTTGTTTTCCAGTATTAGGGACTGAATTCAGGACCTTGCACTTGCCAGGAAGTTGCAGTGCCACTGAGCTACAATCCCCGGCTCTTAAAGGTTTTTTTGTTTTGTTTTGTTTTGATTTGGTTTGGTTTGGTTTTTTCCAAAAAAAGTATTTTTGAAAAGTACAGTTGCTTTAAACCAAAATATTTGTATCTGTGGAAAGGCTATCTATCTGTATGTCTACCTCTTGCATCTGCATAAACAAATTTTTAAAAGAAAACTACTTGGTTTGGCAGCAGCTTCATGATTCACAATGCAAAACCTATAATGTACACCTAAATTACTATTAAACATAGATTCAAGATTTCACTGAGCCTCTGTATTTTATAGCTGTATTTTACAGGACAGGAGTGCTAACATCTAATGACTTGTCCTCACTTCCTTTCTGAAAACAGCAAAACCAAAACCTTTCACAGCAACCTGCTCCTGCTTTCCTGTCCAGGTCCGGAATCAGGCCTCTGTTTCCTTTCCACATGTTGCTATAGGAAGGCCTCTGGAACGCTACTTCCTGAACACACACTTCGTGTCCACCCTGCCTCTGACAGCTTGAAAGAGTGATGTATGGGCATATCAGAGAGGGGAAGGTGACCCCAGCTCCAGTTCTTTGCAGGACCAGGGTATGATAGGGCAGACCTTGCCCCAGCCGACACGAGGCTATGAAGAGGTGTAAAGTCCTGATAAGAAGTCAGTCCTCTTCTTTCTGTGTAAAATAATTGTTGGTTTATCAAAACTAAACTCATGCTCGCACTTCAGATATGGTTTATCTCTTGCTATTTGGAAATAACAAGCAAGAAAATTTGTCTGTAGCATGTGATTTTGTACATAGCGTATGCAGTTATTTTTCCAGTCTCAGTCACAATTAGTACTTGCGGCCATGTGCCAAGTGGAAATGGATAAAAGGGAACATCCTTCCTGGTCTTTAGGCCACCAGTGTCCTTTTCCGATTTTTAAGCTGCTGTCACTGGACTCTGGCATTTCTTACCCAATTCATTTGCTTTCTGTGTTAATCATATGCAATGAAGATATGCATGGCCAACATTTAAACAGGCTGCAGATCAATTAGCGGTCTTAAGTTTATCTGATTTTTATCAAAGAAGACAGAGCTGTGGGTCGATTGTCAGAGCCTGTGTCAAGTTGACCTTTTCAGAGATGTCTACATTGCCTGTCCCCTGGGCAACTTGTTGTCCCCTGTTAGTCTCTGAATGGCAGAAGTCTGTTCTGCTCAAGCACAAAGTATACACAGATGTCTATATTACATTCTTATAGGTTTGACAGCAACTGCATGTTGTATCTATAAACTGTCCTTTAGCAGTGACACTTCCTCAATGATGATAAGCTAATTTATGCAACTAAATCTCCTTTGTGCAGAAATGAAAGCTAATTGAGTCATTACAAAGTAATTCAGGAAGGAATACCTTGTATAAATTGGCTTACTTTATAAATCCTTCTCAAGTGGTTTTTATGCATCCTAAATGGGACTAAGTAGCTTATCAGCCATAAGACATCAAGACCAAACAAGCCAACTTCTGGGAGCTGTGCAAACATCTTTAGAACAGTAAGAATGTGGCTAAAATAAAACCAAAATAAGCTTTGCCAGGAAGCTACATAATTTTTACCTGAGGGGTGGTGCACATTGTCCAGACTTGTTTTCCTTTGTTCTTCCATTTTCACGGAAACATTGTCCTCTTCTTCTTCTGCAAACAAAAAGTGTCAGTAGCACAATGAAGAGGTTCCTTAGGGATAACAGTGCAGTAATCATTCTATCTTAAGAGCAAAACTGTAAGTTTACAATACATAAATATTATTTTTAAAAGAATTAAGCTACCCAAGATTCATATTCCTTTGTCAATAATACAACACTGAACAAATAAACCACTGCCATTTCCAAATGGCAACATTATCAAGGTTTATCTAATTGATTGATAAAATGTAGATACGTACTAATGCATTACACATTTGTTTTAAATATTTATAAAAACTCATCTGGAACAATATTAAATCCAGTAGAGGCCTCAAATCCAGTAAAAATAATACCCAGAACTACATTACACTGTGTAGCAGGAATAGTACAGATGAAATCATGGTTTCTAAAACACTGATATAATGAGAAAATGTGCACTGTAAAATACAGTTAAACAGGTAAGTCATCAATTGAGTACTACTTTCTTTTTCTAAAATCTTATTGAGTTTATTGGTACTTTTTAAGTAAACAGTACAGCTACATTCATCATTGGGATCTTGTACCCTTACAGGACAGATCTTGGTTCTCATTTCTTCCCCATACTCCTGCCCTCCCTTCACCCACTCCACCCTCCCCTATTTACAAACATTGTTTCCATTTTTTCCTTTTCTCATATTTTTTCTTGTCCCTTATTTCCTTTCCCCTATTGAATAGTACCTTCATGTGTATTCTCACTTAATTTTCACAGAAGGATACTAGAAGAATCCTCACCTCTTAAGGTAATTCCTTCCCAAATTATACTAAGGACCTACTAAGTGTTATGTAACACGGGAGAAAAGACTTTGTAGATAATTTTTAAATCCTCATTCTGTGGACAAGTATATGAAACTCAAAAGGTGACGTAATTTCCAAAGTATGTCACTCAAACTTAAATTTGTGATTATAAAGTTCCTGTTCTTTATCCTAACTATAGTAGTGCTTTGCCTGTGTTCTTTCCACTTTCTCATCACACTCCCTCCTCCAAGTTAATATAAAATAAGTTTAAATGATAGGGTTTTTAATAGAATCAAACGATTTAATTCTTTTATACTAAAATATATATATTTAAGCAGGGTGTGGTGATGCATGCCTATAATCCCAATATTCTGAGAGGCTGAAGCAGAGTGGCACAAGTTTGAGCCCAACCTCAGGTAACTTTGTGACTTAGCAAGATCCTCTCTCAAAATTAAAAACAGAAAAAAAGATCTCAGGAGAAGGCCCTAGGTTCAATCCCAGTACCACAAAAATTGTTGCAATAAACACTATGTTTATTAGCTTCCTTTACCTAAGGATTGATATAGAACTTAGAAATGTTGCATATGTGAATAAAGGGCATGCTAAAGAAAAACCAGATTCAAAAATAAACATAATTTTTTTAAAAATCCAAAACTTCAAAGGGTAACATACAAGATAATTCAAATGTAGTCACTTAACTCTTAAACCAATCAATTGATTTTCATTGAGTATTAAATGTAAGAGAAAGATTCGCCAATAGGGAGCATCTGCCCTCAGGAGGCTGACAGCCAGGGAGACAAAAGACAAGATTAAAAGAAAATGAGATAATGGGTCCTAAACCTGGCAATGAAGCACAAGGCACCGAAGAAGTGCAGGGAGGAATTTCCTAACTGGGGATGCCAAAAAGGCCTGTGAGATGCAAAAACTTTAAATAAGCAAAAATGGGAAGAAGGCTATTTCTAGACAGAAGAAAAGCCATGAATTTGAAAAGAACAAGGCAGTCACGTCCATTGTGAGTAAATAACATGGGACTCACAGGGTAAGAGCAGGATGGGAGAGGATACTAGTTGTCTGGGCTGGTTGTTGAAAGTCCAGAACACCCTGTTAAGAACTGCAGGTTCATCTGGTGGGCAGTAAAAGCCCTACAAAGCCTTGGAACAGAGAATGGGCAGGACTGCAACTCTGCTCCAGGAATAATCATTGGATCTGGTTGTCTTAGGCAGTTTGGAGGAGGGGCAGGAAAGTCTTGATAAAGGGGAAGGAAGTCCTGGACTGAAGGGGCAGAGGAAACGGGAAGGAGATGGTTGTAGAAGGTAAAGGAACTATAAGAATCGATAAGCTTTGTCCTGCCTGCCTGTCTGCCTGCCTGAACGGACATGGAGGAAGGGGAAAAGAGAGTAACCAGATGATCAAATTTACTTAACTGAAAAATGGGTGTATCATTGCTTCAAAAAACAGTTTAAAATGATAGCAAACATAGTCTCTGCTGTGTGTGTAGTGGTAGTGGGACTACAAGGAGTTGTCTTTTCCACTGGGTAGATTCAGCATGCTGGTGGGCACCCCCAGAGAAAATGCCCAAGAGCAACTATAAATCACAGTAGAAAAGTCAGTACTGAGATGTAGATTTCAAAGTTTCTTGGAAATTCTAAATGGTGATTAATCAAAACTGTCATTCATATCAACCTTGAGAGTTACTATAAGACAAATATAACTGTTTTGAGCTTCTGCAATTCAATTCAAACAAAACAAAGCAATAAAAGCTCCAACATAAGGAACAGCTGGAAATATCTGGGGCTTTTACACATACAGTGGAACCTACTTTTGGCAATTTAATACAGATTTTTTTCTGTTTAATAACTGTTGTCCCACTTATGTCACATTTCAATGACTATCATAAATGGATTGTTTATAGGATGTTTTGATATAAACTTGTTAAATAGGAGGGATGTTATAGTTAGTCCAAGTCACTCCTTTTATAGACAATTTTTGAAAAGGTAAAATAAGCTTTTCTTAATTTTCACATCTTCTTCCCTAACACTTACTCCTTTTCAATCGTGTCACAAATCCAACATTAAAAAGTAAATTTAAAAAGTTAAGGGCATGGTGTCATCAGTCAAATGCTGTAAGCACGTCAAGGGATTAAACATTGTTTTTGAAGCGACTAACATTTAGACTTGCCCCCAACACAAACTATCATAAAAATTAATTATAATAATTAAATGGAAAAACTTCACTTTTTTGTTTTAAACAAATAATTCAGATGAATTTATTGCTACAAATTCTTTGTATTTATTAAAATTTAAGTGCCTATAATGCATGTTATACAGTATAGTGATAAGAAAGAACTCTGTCCTTTAGAAATATCTTCTTATATGCTCAGAATGATACTAAAAACATATACCTATCAATATCTACTGAGAAATATCCAAATTGAAGTCCATGTGAGATGCATGAAATACACATTTAAAGTACTTTCTTTTTTCCATTTAAAAACTAATATTGGCCGAGGATTTAGTTCAGTGGCACTGTGCCTGCCTTGCAAGTGCGAGGTCCTGAGTTCAATTCCCAGTACCCCCCCAAAAAAAATCTAAATAAATAAATAAAAACTAGTACTGACATTTTTAGGCAAAAAGCTTACATGTTTCATATATCAATTTCTCTTTAAAATATTCAAGCCCCTCATTTTATCTTGGGGTAACAATACAAACAGCTTATACATGTAAGATAATAAAGCAAAATGTGTCTTTTTTTAAATTGTAAGGGAGAAAAAAACTCAAGACTGAACCTTGACCAGAACCTGGCATAAAGGAGATGTCCAATAAATACTGAAAACAAATGGATTCAAAAATCATAACAATAAATCCTAAGATATTCATTTACAGAACAAACATCTTCACAATGACATACATTCACACACTGTCTTATTTAGGTTTATTATTAAACATCTTATTTTGGTGTTGAGGCATGATGTCATTATATAATACTAATTAATATCTCAAATAGCCAATGTTTGTGGGTTAATGTATTCCATTCAACGTTTTAATAACAGTAAACAAAAACAGCTCAGCTATGCAGTAAAATCCATCAAAACCACACAGATGGCTATAAGGTTTTCATTATGTGGTTTCCATAGCAATCATATTGCAAATCTGGAAGCTTCTTGCAAATAAGCAGCTTGTATTTACATGCCTCTCAGCTGCAGCACGAAACTCTTTAACATGTGAAGTTATTAGTCCAATCACACACTGTTAGAAGAATCATCAGGAGATTTTGTGTGTGATCAGACAAGATGAAAATAACAGAAAAGCAAACTAAGTGAAAAATTCAAACAGTCACATGTTTAGCAATCAATGAGTATTAGAAATATTCTGTTCGTCATCAAAAAGCTTTAACATAAACCTTGTCAAATATATAAAACTTCCAGGATCAATTAGACCCTACAGAATCCCAAAACATAAATTGCTCCCTATCATCCTTTTTTAATAGACATTCCGCCTTGTTTCTGGATTAGGCAAAGGAAGGAAGAACAGATAATCATGTCTTTCCAAATCTTTTTAGGAAAATTTATTTGAGGAAATGCTTACTGTGGGAAAAGTCAAGACTTTTTTCTTCTTTTAGATTAATCAATTTAATTTGCAAATTGATCTATTTCCATAACAGATGGATTATTGCCCTACTAAGGGTCACAAATCTGTCTAGCTATTTGGTTTTTAACAAAATGGCTACTTCTGGCTTACCAATGTTCTTATTTTTTGAATAACCAAAAAGAGTGACAAACAATCTGTTTAACTAACATTGCTTGAGAAAGGATGAAGGGACCTTGCTAGCACCCAGGCAGTGTGTGTAATATTCATTTCTGTGCTGAGGACTATCATCTCTTCAGAGGAGAGGGAAAGGCAACAAATGAAAATCTCTGACTCACACAATGATTATCATTCTCATAAAACACCTTCAGAAGACAGTTTGCTGAATTATAATGCATTTTAAAAGACGTGAAACACAGGATCAGAAATTATGCCCTGAAATGAAGTTTGAGTTTAGATCGCTACCTGCCTAGGCTTCATAGATTATGAGATTAGATATTTTTATGTGACTATTATTTTTATGTAACTATTAGGATAGTTAATATTTATTGCTTAAATGCTCATATTATCTGCACTTACACCCATTATATAACTAAATCCTCAGGGCAATTCTATGAGGTAATAATCGGTACTTGTATTCTCATCATTTTATGAA